GGGAGCCTTTATCCTTCTGCCTTTTTCACAGCCCTGGTGCAGCCTTGTTCCTCCACAGATCGCCGCTGCACCCAGCACCTAGCATGGGGCCTGGCTCCAGCAGGAGTTTGAGTGACAGATGGGCCCAAGGCTAAAGTCTCCCACGGCAGACCTCAGGCATCCCCCTTCCTCCTCTCTGTGATGGTCACTGAGGTCGGAGGAGCTGCCGGAGGCCACCTGAGCATATTCCAGGCTGGCATTTCCACCCTCGTCCCCGGAGGCCTCGCCCCGGCCTCCATTCCGCCGTCCTGTGGGGACTGCACATGCCTGGGCTACGGTAGATGCTGGTGCCCCGCACCCCAGGAGGGCAGGCTTGGGGCCTCTGTCCCAGGGGAGCCGGGGACGAGGGCTGCGGCATCAGGGACGGCGGCACCTGCTCTGCCTCACCAGAGACTCCTATTTTCAGTTCCAAATGCTGCCACTTCCCTTTGAAGTCCGTGCCTCTAAGCCGTGAGCCGTGGGAAGAAAGGCGCTGGGCCGGCGCTCCGCTGCACCAGCATGTCTCTCTCCCTCAGGAATCACCTTCGTCACCATCCATTGCCAGAATGAATGGAGGCTGCACAGCCGGCTTTATTAAATATGAATGAGTCGCAGCCCACGGCCCCCACGCGGTCACTCACCCACTCCATCTCTGGCAATTACTGCATCGCACACACTGTGCCAAGGGGCGCAGCGGTCCCTGCCTGCCCTTGCAGACTGACACCGCCCAGCAGGGGCAGGGCTCGGGTCTGCAACTGCCCCCGATGGAAAGCCACTCCTGGGCTCCCATGCAGTCAAAACGGCTCTGCTCTGCAGGTGTAGGGATAGGGCACCTTCCACAGAAGGATCGTGGATTCTTGGGCTCCGAGCCCTGGCTGGGGAGGGCCTGTGGCTTTGGAGCCCAAGACAAGGTCTCCTGGCATGGTGGGCTCCTAAGCTCTGTCTGCATGTTAGAGGTGTGTGGGTCACACCCAGACACTTTGATTTCAGGCAGTTTGAAGATCCAGGTTAAGGGCACGTGGGTGCATGCACACACCATCACTGAGCACACATTCAATGTGTGTTACTGTTACCCTCACAAGAACCCATTAGATTGTGGATTTCATGTCACTGGGGTCCTTGGTAGCTCTGTTCACTGCTGTGTCTCCAGTGCTGGGGGCAGGGGAGATGCTCAAATATTATTTGTTGAATGAATAAATGGGGTGGGTGTTACTGATCATTTTGGAGCTAATGAAGTGGAGTGACAGAACTTGCCAAGGTTCTCCAGCTATTGCGTATCAGAGCTAGGTGTCCAATACAAGGTGGGGCTCCGCCTGGCCCCGCAGGCTGCCGGCTTGCCCGCCCGGGACCCCTCCTGCCCTGCGCAGGCTATGGTCCGATACCGCACCACACTGCTGGACTTGCACGGATCTGTTTGGCCCTGATTCCTTTGGGGGAGCCAATAAAATTCCCCACGGCCCCATGTGGCTTTGTGAAAGTTGTCAGAAACCATCTATGAAGTTGTAAGGACAAACAACATCAAATTCTTTTTCTGAACTTAAAAAATTACTTTTATTTTAGGAACCAATAAAATTATGGCAAATATTTACAAATAATTATCTCACATAAAGGTTACATAAAATCAATTCTTCACAAGTAACAGTCACTCATGAAAAGACACACAGATATTAAAACTACGCCAATCTTATTGCAAGTTTCTCCAACTAATCTAAAATAAAAGTGTTGCAATCAACCATTTAACTTAGAATAAAACCACGAATTTCAGGTTTGACGAGAAAAGAAGGTAAAAAATTAAACCAAAATCCCACCCCTGTTTTCTCCCAAGTCCCACCCCCAGCCCCTGCCCTCCTCCCAACAAAAGAAAAATATGTCCGACATCTTTGGCAAATTGGCACTGCTGTAATTACATTCAAATATTATTACACACAAAAGCAACACACATCACTAAGAAAAAAAAACCCACCAATATTTCAAGTCAGTTATTTTCTACTAGAAAAAAAATACAAAACATACACATTTTTAAGAAGCATTTGTTTTCAATCTGTTGGAGACAGATCATCTCCCACTTTCAAAGGCAATTCAATTGTGGTTTTGTTGTTTTTTTTTTTTTTTTGGGTTTTTTTTTTTTTTTTTTTTTTTTTTTTTTTTACAAGTAAGTGTTTATGCAGGCATCACAAACTTTGGCGGATACAGTAGATACGTATTTCTTTGATGCTGGAAGGTCATTCCCTAAGACAAAGTCAACTGTCTCAAAGAATGAGAAGCTAAAGAGTTCCACTTGCAAGGTAATCTGCATTTACTTCTATAAATACTCAATGTCCAAAGGCCACTAGAGGGTGAAGAACCAGGGCAACATCTGCCAGCAAGAGTCAGGACAAAACCCAAATCAGATTTCCACCCTCGGCCCAGACTTGGAGGCCCAGCAGTGGGGGGCAAGCAGGGGGCCCCCACTGCCCACTCTATCCCACACTGAGCTGGTGGCGTGGGGCCAAGGGATGGGTCTGCCTCTTCTCCTGAGCCCCAGGATGGGCTGCTGCCAGGTCTGCTCACCATCTCTGACCAAAGGTGAGGAGAGCAGGCAAGAATCGGCATGAGGAGACTCAGCACTACGTCTGAGTTTCAAGTACGTCTGAGATGCAGGGATGTGCATGCGTGTGCATGTACACACTCACATGCACACATATGGAGGGGAAGGCCCGATTCAGAGGCTCTGAGTTTTGCAGGGCATTTCCAAAAGACTCAGGACTTATTTATTTTTAGCTTTATAGCAATTAATTGGCTATTGATTGGCTGGAATGTTCAACTCTCCATTTCCTCAAATACAATAAAATAGTTTCATTAAAATGTATTCATGCTTGAAAATAAGGGAGCCATTAAGTGGTTTCCTTTCTGTTCCACTCCAAGGGAAATGCACTGTTTGTAAATCAAAAATCCATCATCCAAAATCACTTGTTCTTAATGGTGCTTTTAGAGAAGATGAGGGACGTGGCCTTATGCGTGGTGATTTTGGGGATGAGGGTGGCCCAGTGGCCATAGTTGCAGGGTTGGGTGGGCCTATGGTTGGGGTGGGTGAGGCTCAGCTTGACCTCCTCCAGTCAGGCCTTAGAGTCGGGCAAGGGGGCCCCTGACTCCCAATCTGCCCCACCCCCTGCTGGTTCGCACACTTCCTTCCCCAGCCGTGCTCAGAGCTGTCTAAAGCTGAAAGGTGGGATTCCTGCCCGCCTTGTCCTGCCCACAGGCCAAATACACTACCTGAGACCGACTGCCTTTTAGAATTCATTACAGTTTCCTCAATAAATAGATAAAGAGCTGCATTTTCTCCTGCCGCTTAGGGGTTTAAGACGTGGGAAGGAGAATATCTAGACTTACTGCATGGTGGTTACATTTACCCCCAACTCAGACATGGGCTAAAGGGGACCCCTGGGAACACATGGACTGAAACTCTAGATTGGCAGGGACATGATCCTGAGGTCTCCTTTGATTCTGGGATGGGGGGTGGTCCAGGAACGGGACCCCCATGTCAAGAAATCACAGCAAAGGAAACAGAGTCTGGTGCCTGGCTGCTCCTGGCAAGCAGCCCATGTCCAAGAAGCTGCAGACCCTTCCTCAAGAGAGCAGGCAGGCCAGGGACTTGCTTCCAGTCCTCTGCGGCAGCCCCTCGGGACCTGGCCGCCACTCCGGAGCGCAGCCGCGAGCTGACAGTGGGGAAGTGCGGATCAACACTGCGGCTCCACGATGACTCCACCATGAATATGCAAGAGGGAATCCTGAGGTAAGGGGTCGTCAGGGGACAAGGGGCTGAAGGGGCTGCTGGGAGGTGGGGCAGACTGCAGGCTAGGAGTCATGGCCTGACTGTCCAACTTTCCAATAATGTTTTGTTACCTTTTAAGAAATGCACTTGCCTTGGACCTCTCCGAGGCCAGAAGAACTAGAATGCATTCTCCAGGAGCATCGATGTGCGTGCCTGGAAGCCATCAGAGGCAGGCTCCTCGTTGGGTGACAGGGCCATGGCCGCAAAGCCAGCTTCTTAGCGGGGTCACCCAGGAGCTGGTCTAGTCCAGAGTGCTGTGGGGGTGCACCCTCTCCAGCCTGGGCCTGGCCTATGCAGGGACCTGGATTTTTCTCTACCCTCAGGGCAGCTGTGTCTCAGACATATCTTGTTTCTAGGTGTTTGTCAGGAGTGCTTGGTTTGTTTTTAAGATTTGCTCCCCATGGCTTGGAGCTAAAGTCTAGCTGAAATGTCATCCAGAAAGGGGGGGTGGGAAGCTGGTGCCAGAGGCTGCCAAAGGCAGGGCAGTTCCTTTGGGCTATGACTTCTCATAAAGGGATTTCACCCCTCAGTGCCCCGTGGCCACATCTGGGGCACTTCCCCCGCACACATGAAAAAACCTCAGCGGCACTGGCCTCTCAGAGCCAACAGTCCCTCCACCCCCACCACCAGCTGTTCTATCCCACCCACCATCAAAGCCCAAATGGTCCGCAAGAGCCCAGGGTGAGGAGGGAGGGGGTAAGGACTGGGGATGCCTGTCCCTGACAGTGACTGGCCTAACAAGTTGAAGCTCATCTCCCATCTCTCTGGGTTCCCATCTTCAATGAAGGGCAAGGAGGTGAAGAAGAAAGGGAGCACTGGACAAAAATTGGGGGTCATGAGCTAGGAGCCAGTGGGTCAGATGTGGCCCACAAACATATTCTTTTGGCTGGAAGGGCATTTAAAAAGCTTTCACATTTCAATGCCACTGGATGGGGCCAGCCCTCTGGTTGTCTCGGGTCCCCCCGTTCCCCTTGCCACCTCACGCCCTGCCTCAGTGGCGAGATCACCTGCCTGACCCAGGAAGCAGCAGTTCAGGGCCCTGGAGATTGTGATCTGTGTTTCCCAGGCCTGTGGCCGCCCCCGGGGCCCGGCTGGGGGATGCCTCCATGTTGGCACAGACCAGTCTGGAGTCTAAGCCACAGTGAGGAGACATCTCATAAACCCCGGGACCTTAGACCCTCGGAGTCAGAGGCGGGGCCACGTCCAGGCCCCGCCACGGCTGATGGTGTAGTCTTGGATGTGCTCTGATCCCCTCGGAGTCTCAGGACCCAGCAGGGAAGAAGCATGAATGAAACCTCAGCAGCACTGATGTGAATGAATCTGAGCAGACTTTGCAGGTTTGGTGTTAATGGGAATCAAGGCAGACCAGCAAAGCCACCAAGCCTTAGGCCATTTGGTCAGGCCAGCCTCTGGGTCCCTGTTGTTTCCTCGTGGGTCTAGGGGGTTCTAGGGGATTGAAGGGTATATCTAAGCCATATGCTCCCATGACGAGAGCACAATTCTGTGGAGAGAGAATGGGGCCCAGAGATCTGAGAATTCACCTCACCTCTGTCTTGCCATGCAAGCCCCAAATCTCAGTTTTCCCATCTGTAAAATGGGCATTGTGATCTTTGCCTCAGGGAATGGTCAAGGATTGCAAAGCACCATACAAATGTGAGTTATGAAAGGGCTAACCCTAACTAAGGCGCCTTGAGAAAGGGAGGTTGGATTTGATATGTCATCAGATTTTTCAAGGCTGGAGCTAGACTAATGGTATGAAACTTTTTCATAAAATCCACAAGGTCCTTTCCAAAAGTCAGAGCCAGAACATAGGGCTGAAAGCCTGTGGAGTGCCCTAGGCCTCCAGCCACAGTGCTGGTGAAAGCCCTGGCCTTGTGTTGTCCGTTCAGAATTCTCTGGCATTCACTCAGCGGCTTGTGTCCTTTGGAACCTTTCTCTCCAGGCTTATAGGCAGTTCCACCAGCAGTGAGCGGACTCTGAGCTGGGGAGAGCAGGTACTTGTGTGAGAACATATGTGTACATCCATGTGCTCTTGTGCTTCTGCCTGGCAGCCCAGGAATCAAGGGGTTGTCTAATAAATACAAATGCAATCTGAAGACCAGCAGAGCCTCAGGGGGGAGAGAGGAAAGGCATGGAGGGAGCTCATCACAGCAAGAGAAGGAACAGAATGGGGCCAGCTGGGCTTTGATGAGGAAGGACAGTGTGCGCTTTAGGCAGTTGGTTCAGGGAAAGCTGACTTCCCAATAGCCTGAGACCACGAGGAGGGACAAGGACCAAAGGTGTGGGTATAAGAGGCCAAAGGCCCGATCTGCAGACCTCTGAGCCCACCACTTCCTGCAGCAGGGAAGGAGGAAAGGAGAGGCCAGCTCCTGTACCTTCTCCTACCTTGCCTGGCAGGTGGAGGCTGGAGCTGGTTCATCCTGTTCCTGGAGGTGGGCTCTGCCCCCAGCTGCCTCCCTTCTTTGCCCAACAGGTTACAAGGTGGTGGGTGCGCCTGCAGTGAGCTCCCTGGCTCCACTTCTGCCTTGGATGGCTGGGCTTCCTTGTCAGTTCTAACAGCCCGGGACACTCCATCTGTGGCAGTGGGCCCAGAACGATCTCTCACTGCCCTCGCTGTCAACTTCCCTCCCCGGGGATGGAAGGATCACCTTGTGCCAGGGGTTGGGAGGCTGAATCCCAGCCCACCTCTGCCAGTCAATGCCTGGGGACTCCACCGTGTTGAGCCCATTTCCTCTTCTCTCCCACCACCTTGTAGGATGTTGGGGAGAAAACACTTGGTGGTGGCCAGAGGAGGTCTATTTCCCTGCATTGTCCCAGGCTTCCCCAAACTGGGCCTCAGTTTCCCCTGAGGCGAGCTGGACTAGATTGTCCTCAAGGCTTATTCCCATCCCTCTGGGTGTTCTTATTTCCCATTTGGTCCAAATAGATAGCCATCCCATAGGCTTGCTCAGAAGTAGAAGACCTGCCCTCAGATGACCCAGTTACAAGTCTGTTCCCCATCCTGGGAAAGAGGAAGGCCAGGAGAGAGCTGGAGGATGACCTTGCAGGTGACCCTGCTATACCAAGGCAACGGAGACTCAGAGACATGAAGGTCTTGTCTGAGGTCCCACAGCAAGGAAGCGGTGTGGCCAGGACAAGACCTCTCAGGCCCAATAACCTCAAGTCCAGGCTCTGCTCTGCCCCAGCTCTTTGCCAACTTGGTGACATGCAAACATCGGGGATGCAAACGTCTGTCACACGAGATGGCAAAGTCCATGGTCATCAGTGTAATTCAGCCCAGATTGGGACAGGGCCTCCGCCTTGCTGTTCTGCGTGGGCAAAAGAGACTACTGAAGGAACTGAGGCCCCCGGCAAAGAGATGGTGGCCCCTGGCACCCCTATTTCAAAACCACTCCCAGTTCACACACCAGTTCCTCACTGCTTATCCTGCTTCTCTCCTAGAAGGCCTTCCTCTGTCCCCCGTATCCTCCCAGGTGGTTTTTTTCTGGCCACTCCAGCCTCCAGTGAGTTCTCCAAGCTCCCCTCCAGGCTCCTGGGGCCCTTGGCCATAGCCTTGGCCATTACAACCCCTTGCATCAATAGGTATATGCCCACTGTGCAAAGTTAGGCATCTGCTCCCATCCCAGCACCTCTATTTCCAGCTGCATACTAGGCTCCACGAGGATAGGGAGGGGCTGATCAGGAAGTTCTGGCTGACTGCTCTAGGTGTTTGTGGTCCTCAGTGCAAGAATGTCCTTTTTGTTAATTATTGTCTACATGGCAGGAACAGGCTTGCCCAGAATCCACTTTCTGGCATCCTGGAGGGTGGGAGAAATGTCCTTGGTGGGTGTCCAGTGTGATATGAGCCTGGGCACGCCTCAGAAAACACATCCCAGTTCAGTTCAGTGGTTCCAGGGGCTTGGGAGTCCCTGCCTTGGACTATGGTCTTCTGAGTCCTGTCCAGCCCCAGCATTCAAAGTCCACAATGCAGTCAGCACCTTGGACAGCATCTTTAGAATCCTAGCTGAGGAATCTCCCAGACAGTCCTTTGTTCTCTTTGAGTCCTTTGACATGGAAAAGAGCTGCTCACCCTGCACAGGGCCCAGGAAAATGGAGCCAGGAAGCCAGGGCATCTCTCCAGTGTGTTTCTCCTGAGGAGGGGTCTCAGGGGGCAAGCTTGAAGCATAACCAGCCCAATGAGACTCCTAGTCCAGACGTTAAAGAAGTAGCAATGAGCAGGAGGCTGGGACCTGAGGTGGGCATCCTTAGTCTCAAGGACAACTCCAAGCCCACCTATGGGGGGGCAGCCAAGGCAGAGGGGATGCTCTGCACACAGGTCTAAGATGTCCTGTGACACATCGGGAATACTGGATGCATAATGGGTGGGCAGTCTGCTCAGTTGGACCCTCATGCCCACAGAAAAGCAAGAAGGTATTTACATGGGTGCTGTTGAAGTGACAAAAACAAGCTCTCCTTCCCAGGCCTGGGGCAGGAAGACAGGTGGATGGTCAGACAGCTGGGGACCGGCAGGCTAGGCTGGGGCTACAGCTGTCTGCAGAATAGTCTGTGGCTTTGCAGACACCCAGTTGCTGTTGGGAGAAGCGCACTGATGGACTCTTAGCAATGGACGTGTGTCTAGAAGTCCAACAGCCTTACCATAGAACCCCAGTTCCCTGGCAGGAAAAGGTTGGGAGGGAGTTTCAGGCGAGAGAGGATTGCTGGGGGATGGGCTCATTGGGCCCCTCTGGCTGGCTTCGGAGGGGCTGAGAGGCTATCGCCCTCAGTGATATGTGTTGCAAGTGCTTGGCGCCCACCTGGCTCCGAGGGTCAGTGACGGTCGTAGGCAGTGGCGGCTGCAGGCGGGGCGGCTCCTCGGGCCGCGGCGCTGTAATAATACGGGGAGCCTGGGAGAGACAGAAGAGGGCACGGCGGTTCGAGGGGGACCTTGTGCCTGCCACCCCATACAGGGGGTCCCCTTTCCACCAGGGTCCCCCTCCTCCTCCCCTTCCTCCCAGGCCACCAAGATCTCTGTCCCAGTCTGTTCCCCAAATTGCAAACCTAATCAGGGTGGCTTCCTGCTCACAAGATTTCAAGGCCTCCTCCCCACCTGGAGCTGGGGTAGGCAGACTGGGGCCCTCGGGTGAAATCCTCCCTGCTGCCCGTTTCAGTCAATAACGTTTTACTGGAACTCAGCCTTGCCCACTTGATTCTGTGCTGTCTGTGGGTGCTCTCACACTATTACAGCTGCCTGCGCGGCCCCAAATATTTACCATCCAGCCCTGGGCAGAACGAGTTTGCCGACTTCTGACCTAGAGGGTGAAAAGCCATCACTTCTTAGTTTGCCCTGTGGATACTTCGTGACCTAGCTCTGCCCACCTCTTGGGATTTCCGCCCCCCACCCACTGCTCCCCCACCATACCACGCACACACCACACTCCAGTGAACTCGGACCCTGCAGAGGTCTCAAGGATACCCTCATGCTAATAGCAACCACCTGCGGAGAAGCACTTCTTCGGCCTCGCACCGCTCTTTCACGTGTTGTCTCATCTCAACCTCCAGGGCAGGGGAGTTAGCCCACTTTATCCTCCTCTCGTGCCTCTCTGCCTCTTTCTGTGCTTCTTCCCTGAGCTCACCCTCCTCTGCAGCCTGGACCAGGGGCTCCAATCACCTCTTTTACTGCTTCTTCCCCCCACCCCGCCCCTGGACAGAGAGCCCCACATAGGAGGGGGCTGGGCTCTGCTCTTCCCGGTGTCTGTCGTCAGTCCCCAGGCTGTCGCCCGGCACGTGGCACGTGCTCACAGCCAGGCTGGATGAGTAAATGCACAGCAGCACTGAGTAAACAAACAATAGCGGAGACCCCTGCCCATTCACTCATTTCTTTTCTGGCCCTATTGGGGACAGCAAGGGGCAATAATCACAAACCTCACAGACCAATGTTGAGAGTCAGCAGGGGGATTAGAGCTCTGAGAAAAGAGCTCTGGGGAATGCAAGGTGATTCTGGCAGAGTCAGGTTTCCTGGAGGATGTGGGTTGGGCTGTGTTTGAAGGACAGGAAGAGACAGACATGGGGAGCCTGAGGTATGGGAGACCATGGGAAAATTGCAAGGTGGAGCCCTGCGGCCTGTGACCTCCAGACAGAGCCAGGGTGAGAGCCAAGCTGGGTTCCTCCCACTGTCTCAAGTCTTCATTCTGGGACTACCTGCTTCGGACGAGGCCTCCAGGAGGCCTACGCTGCGCCAAAACTCCTCCCCAGGGATGAAAGAGTCTGGGGGGCTCAGGGAGACCAGCAGATTCTCAGAACCACAAAGCTTAGAGATGCTAGGCCATTGCCTCCTTTTACAGGTGAGGAAACGAGGCTCAACAAACCAACACCAAGTGCCCAAAGCCACAGGGCCTCTCAGTGCCAGAACCTGGCCTGCATTCAGGATTCTTCCCACCACAGTGCAGTCTACCCAACGCTGGGGGGCTGTGTTTATCCAGGTGGACAGCGGTGGGGGCCCTGGTAGCCACTGGACCATGCATCTCTTGGGGTGGGAATAGTGAGCTGCTTAATTCCCTGGGGGAGTGGACTCATTCGTGATTCTCCCAGATACCATAACTGAGCACCAAGGCCTGGACTCTATCACTCTTGGCTGAGTGACCTTGAACAAGTGGCTTCTGAGTCTCAGTTTTCTCATCTGTAAAAGGGGGTCACGATGGGGCCATATGAGGGCACCATGAGACAAGGATGTGAAAGTGCTTTGGAAATTGACAGTTTTCTAAGCCACTTACAGCTAGTCACGCTAGGGGGGAAGGGGGGAGAGAGAGAGAGAGAGAGGAGAGTGTGTGTGTGTGTGTGT